CAGCTAACCGCGTTGACAGGACCTCACTGCAGTTGGGACCCGAGGGCCTCTGGCCCTCTTCCCCAATCTTAGTGCACACAATACCTGTATAGATGTACTTATATTTCCCTGCTAGATAGTTACGCCTACAATACACATGCATCTAGCTAAGTTCAAAGAAGTGTATTGTTGTCTGTTTGTTCACCATTTAAGTGTTGGAGTTGCCGCACCTACCGTCCCGTAAGGTGCATTGAATGGTCCCGGAATCCGACAGTCGCTAGTCCTTGAACAACAAATATTTAATAGAGCTTATCAGCAACGCACAGCAAACTACTTTTCTTGGACAGAAAACTGCCAAGCATATACTCGAAAATTCAATGGGTGGAGCTCTCCATCTACATTTCTCAGTGAGTGGAGCTGCTGACTTTTTAAGAGGATCGGGGATCTTTGCAACGTGGGGTAACTTTGCAGTGGACTTCTAATGAGCTCTAATGAGCTCACATTACCATGGTTTGATGGCGTAGTTGGTTATCGCATCTGTCTAACATCTTGACCTTTTCCAGTGTTTCACAGAAGGTCCCCGGTTCGAGCCCGGGTCAAATCATGACAATGTATGTGAAACTACTTTTTCTTGGAATCATCTGCATTTCACTCCACTTAAGTACATGGCAATATTTCGAGGTATGTAGGTACCTGGCGACCGTAAGTCAATTACAGAATCTAGGCGATCTATTTTGAGTATGAATGTTTCTAAGAACGGTACCAGGCCAAACAGGATCAACTTCTAGCAAAACAATCCAAGTCTTCGTATTTACTATGATTTCCTGCATATACGGCCTCCATCCTCCATCTCCCATGACCAACACGAACAAACGCCTCCGGTCGCACGATAACGACAAGGCTCTGAGACAACATAGTCAATGGGAAACCGCGTTATCCGGAGGAGGGAACGGACTTGATGCACGGTCTGAAAAGTTTGAATCATGCATGGTGTCCGGTCAGGTAAAGCAGGATACAAGTTTTCGGTGGGCAGTGATGATTTGAGAGCGAAGCCGAACTGAAGATGAAGCACAGTTCTGAGGACAAATTACGAGAGGGAAGTCTCATACATAGCACACTCGTCCACGTATGTTCTTGAAACCCTCCACTGAATGCTGATCTTAAGTCAGACGCTCAGGTCCACCCGACGTTTCCCGTTCATGTCGACTGCTCACGATGCGATCGGAATATCTAGGTTAGAAACAACTTGAGATCCAGGTCATTCTCCACGTCGATGCATTGTGTGGCACTGTCCCGTTAGGTATGTCGAATCGTCCCGGAATCCCGCAGTCACAAGTCCTTGGACCACAGATGAGAATAAACATGAACGTTGATAAACTCCAACCAATCGAATTTGGGGCATACCATAAGAATGATTTATCGTGTGGACACATTCTTCCGTTCTGGGTCTTTGAAACACGCTTTGTTGCCCAACCACAAGCTTGAGAAGTCGTGGAGCACATGTACAGGGTTTTTCTTTTGATCATCCTCCTGGGGCAATGGGTGGCCGACTGTCGTTCCAAGATCCCAGTGAATCCAAGCACGATCACGCCAAATCGTTGAGTTGTCAACAATAATAGCTTGAAGAAGCGAGCTATCTACACATCTGGAAATCTCGCGAAGGAGTGAAAGGTATCCTGAGCGTGAGGATCGGGAAGTGTACGTAGAGGGGAAGGAAGTACAAGGGGAAGGGACAATGAATTTGGTGATATCTGGTAGTCACCTACGCAATTCTTGAAGCTTGGCTGGCGCTCACAAGAAACATTGGAAGGGAGTTGCTCGACGTTGATGCGTTGATACGTGAAGTTGAGACCTCTGTGGATCGATCCAAGGGGGAAAGTTTTGGGAGAAATGAGAAACTAGTTATTTCAACCTATGAGTTCGAATCACCATGATTTGAAACTTGCCCTTGCGCCGCCACACGAATAACAGCCGAGTAATCACAAATCTGCTGTCTCGGAGTCACCCTCCCCTTATATAGATGCCTACACGGACCAGAACAGAGAATAGAAATGCACAGCTGACCTTACTCTCGAAAGCGGAATTTCTTTGTAACCCAGAACAGCTAGGCTTGAACTCGAAGCGTGATGAAAAAAATTAGTTCTTTTTGATCTTCCATGATGAGCAATGTTGAAAGTTGAACTTTGCATGCGGCCACTCCCACGCCCCCCAACTCGTTATCTCAATCTCATCTCATCTCCTCTCCTCTACGATGGTTTGAAGATGTTGCTCTCCTCGAGCCTCGACTGGGATCACTCTAAAACGTTCACCGTCCGTTCTCATCCAGATCCTCAAAAATTAATTCCGAAACATTCGTTGATTGAAATTTACATGGAAAATAGTAACGATCCTGCCGGTACCCCCGTTACTAACCTATCTCTCACCATGACCTTCTCCAGGTCCTCAACTTCCCTCATCTGAACCTGGGGTATATCCAATAGGTCCGGCATCAAGACTTTATTGCGCACGCGCGGTGCGTAACAGCTATTTTGTATCCGTTGAGCCGCATAACATTTCCCGAAATCATGCTGTTGTACAATCGGATCGTGCTCACGATCCGGAATCATCGTGGAACCCCTTTGGCACCGTTGGCAAGGGATGTGGCCGAACGCTCCCAGGTCGTACCCATGATAGGAAAACTGAGAACCAGTTTCCCAGCAGGACAGGACCGCATCCCCGGAGCTGGGAGATGGCGACTGCGGATGGCAACCTACCTGGCCCTTTGTATAATTCTCATTTGTTATGTTTTTATCCTGAAAACATAATCATTGAGAATTAGATATCGTGGCCAGGAGATATAGGTAATGCTCACCGTTGTTTTGCCGCGGATAAAAACGTCTTTGGAAGACTTGTTGAAGTTGTTAAGTGGAAACTTCCGAACCACATCGAAGGTAGTTGTTCGCACATCCGATGCTGCCTTCAAGTTACCAGGGGATTCCTTCGGCCTAGCGGCTGGACCGCGCAGAGTATGATAATGCCCCCATCTATCACCCTTACCAGCGCCCCCAAATCCGACATTGCAGATGTAAAGTGTAACAGCGTCAAGTTGAACATCCTCAAACTTACGACGGAGAACCTGTTGATTGGCTGTGTCAAGACCGAGCGAGACAGTGCGCGGAGGGGTAGATGGTATCAAATCAAAGCTCGTCAAGTGTGAGCACTCGGAAAGCAGCGACAGAAGGTCTGAGGAAGACGACAGGAGAGAATTGTCATCAGTTAGCATGAAAAGTCGCGGCGCCTCATTCATGGACTGCAAGCGTCTGAATGGAGGACCCTTACCCTAGATTATTGGTCAGTCTCATTCTTCAACATCGTTGAACGACGAGTTGCCTCGCTTACTGTGATGTGTGGGACAAATGTAGAATCTGTTGTCAAAAGCGGAGCAGTTCCAACCGGGAATGAACACATTCCTGGAAGACCTGTGTTGATTGAGAAGAGGATGTAGTCCAAGAATAGGTTTTGCCAAAAGTACGCCACCAAGGTCTGTCTTTTATACCGTTCACGGTATAAAGTTGTTGTATTGAAAGCATGATCAAGGACCCTCTGTCGCTCCAAGGCCTTAGACTGGTTATCTAGCAAGTTGAGAATCAAACATCACTCGCTTTCTCGATGACTCGTCGAAATGCAATACACGTAAGTACCTTTTTCCGCGGTATCATCTAATATACTTACAACGCGTATCCATCGTGCTGCTACAGATCATATCGGTTTCTCCCCAGAAAGGAACTCAACAGCTTGAAGATCGTACTTGGTATTTGTCGTCCCAAAGATTGGTGAAACCGCTTTGACCTCTTGTTACAACCTCGCTTAGCCTACCAGCCACCAGTCTTGTAAGAGCTCCGGAACTTTTGACTTGTTTTGACCTGACTGAAATTGCCACGGATCCACCGAATGCCTAACCTTGTGCAACTTGCGCTTTCCATGCTGCAAATATATGCAGAACGATAAAAGATCACTGGAATAAATAATCCCCGTACCTGCGTGTAATCATTATTGCTCTTTCCTGGAAATCTTCGCAAGTGGAACGCCGTCGTTCACCGCCTCGCCCTCGCGCCACATTTTTCTCGGAGGCCCCGACACGGCGGAATGAGCAAGCAGGCAATTCGAAGAGGTGAGTCATTCTTTTCACCGTGCTTTCCAGCTTCAATTTATCTAACTAGATGTATCAGAACAATCACACATCTACATCCTTGTTCATAGAACCATCCAGTTCTTAAACACAATACTTCCGGACTGATTGAGACGATGACGATGACGCGTTTGTTCGGCGAGAGGGAGCAGCTGATTCTTGGAACAGCGAACACTGCGGCGATTGGGCACGGTTGAATGTAGACTTATGATGGTGGTTTACCGAAATGACTGACTACAATCCTGGACCCACAAATAATTGACAGACAGAGCGAAAACTCATGGTGCGTCTAAAAGTCCTTCACTCATTGTTTGCACATGGAGCGTGGTATACCTTTGCAGTGATTTGGACTTCTAATGCAATGATTATGTCTGTTCAAAACTGATCGCAGAAGGTTCTGTTAGATGGTAAACACTCAGTTGGATAGTAAACAACTGTATTTGGTACCTGTTAGATGGTAAACACTACATAGGCTATGAGTACGTATTACCCAGGTAAATAATCATTGGGCTCACCTCAGTTGGATAGTAAACAACTGAGGGAGCCCGTGTCCGTTTCCTGCGGGTGGCTAGTGAACTGTACAGTGTGTATGTAATGCTGTGGACGGAAGCAAATATCCTCTGCCTCTATGGACTGTGCGTACGCCGGGTGGAGATTGAGTCTAACACCCCCCCTGCTCCACACGATACAGTCCCAGTAGTCCGACCATCTTCGCCTGAAGCGTCCCGCCAAGGGCCTTGGTGAACACGTCTGCGACGTTTGTACCTGTCCGGATTTCGGAGACGGCCACATCCCCGCACGCAACTTTCTCCCTGATATAGTGGTCCCGGAGGTCGATGTGTTTGACCAACGCGTGCCGCTTCGAGTTCTCTGTCAGGCTGATAGACCCAAAGTTATCCCCCAACAGGGTGACTGGGCCCTGCTGATGCAGGTCAACTTCCGCCAGGAAGGATTGTAGCCAGACAGCTTGCTGGCAAGCCCGGGACAGGGCGATGTACTCCGCCTCAGTAGAGGAGAGAGCAGCAGATGGTTGCCGTTTAGAGCTCCAGGAGATTGGCGAACCGGCCATGAAGAAGACATAGCCGGAGGTGGATCTGCGGGTGTCCACGCACCCGGCGTGGTCAGAGTCGGAATACCCCTTTGGTTTCAGACCCAGGCCGGGTGTATGTTCATCTCCTGCTGCCGGTGCCTCATACGTGATTGCGTAGTCGCTGGACCACAGGAGGTAGCCTGCCAGCCACTCGACGCACTCCCAATGTGGCCGACCAGGGTGGAGTTGGTATCTGGCCAGGAGGCCGGCCGCGAAAGAGATATCTGCACGGGTGCAGGTCTGACACCAGAGAATCGCGCCGACGAATTCGCGGTAGGGCTTACCAGCCATGAACTGCTGGTCATCAGGGGGAAGGGGGTCGGGAGCTTCACTGAGTTTGACGTTA